GCCCGAGACAAGGACTGGAAGAGGCACAGTTTTACAGAGAGTAATCGAGGGCTCTTAGCTCTCAGCCTCAGGCATGTAATTCAGATTTAAGAATGAGTTAGCGTGTCAAGATAGCGTGTCTCGCTGCAGACCACGCCTGCACCTGTCAGGTGTTCTGTGGCATGCCTGTGTTCCGTGAGAGAGATCATGTGTGTCCTGGTGTGTACGTGCGTACGTGTGTGTGTGTGTGAGTGTGCGTGAGTGTCTATATGTAAGATGTGAAGTCGTGTTTACACGCGTGTGTGCTCCTTCCTTTTTTCGGCACGCAACTTCCGAACCCCAGCGATGACGGACACCTGCGATTTACACAACACATGCAACGCTTTCTGATCCCGTGGTATTTGTTCAGGTGTGCAGGAGTTTCCCATCAGTTCTGGCTGACGCAGGAAAACTGTTTTGATAAACTCCGTGCCGTCCGTCAAAGTCAAACATCTTAATATGGAAAAATCAAATCAGTCCAAGTCGTCTGACAGAGACGCAGGCGGTTCCTGCCTCTTGAAAACAGCTGTGTTCATGGAGTTTAACAGTTTTTTTTTATTTGATTTTTGATTTTTGTAATGGTATTCTAGAGCACATGTGCCAAACTGAAGGCCCGGGGGCCAAATTCAGCCCACTAAATCATATTGCACGGCCGCTGGAGCTTAAATTTGATAGCATTTGATAAAGTCCAGCACGGGAAGTTTCTTAACCTGATAAATTAAAAGTTGTTTTTTTTATTACACATCAATGATCAATATGTGTAACTTGAATAAATAATAATCAATTGCAGAAACATTTATTACTACTTTATGTTACAAGTTACAAACTTCGTGACCCAAGCCAATAGATATTATTCATAAACTTCTGCGAAACGTGTTGACAGACGACCCCAAAAAAAAACTCTTGTGAACCACCTGAGGGTCGCGACCCAGTCTTTAGGAAACAATGCCTAACGGAGTAGTTACATCTACAGTCTTCCATTTACAACCAAGCCCTCAAGGGGAACTGTGTTGCTGATGTGCGCCCCCCCCCTGGTGAAAATTCGTTTTTTTTTTCTCCTTAGATGTTTAAATGTGGAGAAAAATAAATAATAAAACTTTTCAGAATCTGTATTTTGTTCTGTGGACTTTGAAAATGACTTGTTTGAGCGGAGGTTTGATTCTGAATCCATGTTTGTTTGTTTGCTGTTTGTTCGTCACATCCTTAAACCAATCACTGATTGGCTAATTTTGGAGTTTATGAACCCAGTCGTATGAAGTCATTTTTTAAAAATACAACCTCACGTTTTTACCACATGTTTTTTACCTTTGATCCACGGCCACGTTCTGTTCACACATTCTAACAAACGTTTACCTGTGTGGTTGTCCAAGTCTCCGTGAGATCACTGCTCCGACATGTTCAGGTAGAAGCTCGGCTCTGGTTGGTGCCGAGGTTTTTCTTGGCTTAAAAACGTCACATCGGTGTCGCCGTTGCCTACAGAGAAGGAAACAAATGAGTGAAAACAAGAAGAAAGTGATGCAATAACATAAAACACACATCGAGGACATAAAAAATAATTTCTGACAATTAACCAGTCAGAAGATTACATCTGACAAGCTGACACTATCCACGAATGGATTGTGAGAGACTGTTGACTTAAGTATCGACTAAAATCCATCAATCAATCAATGGTTTAACAGCCCATAATATTTAGTTCATCCATTTTCAGCCTGGTACGTAGTCCAGAACAGTCCAGATCATGTTACTGAGGACGACACAGAGGAGAAGCCGACCTGATTCGTGGTTCAACCTAAGGAGAGTTCAATAATTAATTTGTGGTTCAACCTAAGGAGAGTTCAATAAAAAAATTGATTGCTGAGTTTCTACTGGTCGTTATGAGAAGAGTTTTTTTTCACGCCCATTTCAGATTATTTGAAACCAAATTATACGATTTATTTTCTCACAGAACTTGGAGAAGAATTCATTTCTCACCTTCTTCCACCGTCTCACTGAAGAACCAGCCTGTGTCGGAGCGGCTTCACTGAAGTTCTGAAAACAACTGCTCTACAAGACACCGTCCAGATTCACAGGAATGATTCAAATCCACCGACTCTGTGGAGAAGAAATGTCGAGTTATTCTGTTGCACGTTTTCTTGACATTTCCACGTTAATAATAATTCCATCTTTTGGATCAGTCACGTCAGGAGTGAAATGCTGACGTCGACCGGCTGATATTCGTCTCTCATCTGATCCAGGGATTTACAAAAAAGATTTTTGTCATATTTAAGAATGTTGATTCACCACGGCTAATCTGGATTAATCTAGATTAATCTGCAGTGTTCCTCTGATTATTCAGATTAGAAAGGTTTTCACAGCCTGATGTTTTTGTTTCAGAGTATTATTACTGTATTATTCAGTGTTTGTTTGTTGTTTTGTTTTTCACCTTAAAACAGAACTTTAACTTCTGGATTGAAGTCAATGCAACGTCCTCTCCAGCTGTTACTTCTCATTCCTGGCCTGACCTCCTGACCTTCTGACCTAAGGGTCACATTTGACATTTCATCCACACGCACGCAATCTCTCTTCCCTCCTGGTTCATCTGTATTTATTGTTTTATTTCATCTAATAACTCTCTCCTCTCAGTCTGTGGTGGACGTTAAATATTAAACACGGATCATAAAACTGCAGTCAAATAAAAGTCGGCTTCCTTCAGAACACGCTGGTCTACACACCACAGCCGCCAGTCAACTTTTTCCACGCCGACATGCACTGTTGACCCCGTCTCTGCTGCCCCCCACAGGCAGAAAGGGGAAGCCCCCCCCCCCCGTGGCATGTCAAGTGGTGAGGGAAATGATCTAATCTCTCTCACTCCGCTGCCTGTCTCTCACTGACATGCTTCTTTAAATTGTTTCATGTTGTTTTTCCTGATTCGCGTTGCCTTGGCAACGGCTGCACCGTGAGCAGTGACCGCACGACAGGGGGCGGAGCTGTTAGGTGAGAAGCCTGTCACGTAATAAAAAAATAAATAAAACAAATACCCGCACACACGTAGACACACAGTGAAGATCAAATTAACCCGGAGCCGTTTGTCAGGATCAAAGAATCAAACGCAAGCGATAAAGAATGAAGAATGAAGTCAACCACAGGAGGATCAAAAATAGACTCCCTGAACGGTCGTGGGTACGAGCCCAGACTGGTCTCCTCCAAACAGCCAACAGTCTATAATTATCCCTCCAGCTGTTTATACCCAGGCATCTGACCTCTGACCTCTGGTACTACACTCATAATCACACTCAGCCACGCTACAGTCCAGCGGTTTACGAGGATAATGAGTAGAGGGGCGTGCGTTCGGTACGTAAATGCTACGATGATTTACTCTTTTTCACGACAGTTGCGTGTTTGGAATATTCTACCATATTTTACAGGCGGTGAAAAGGCGTCATATCTGCGTTAAAAGAGCTGTGAAAACTTACACGACAGCGTCTGTGTGACCTTAACGCGGTGCCACAGGTGACGCTCTCCGTGTGGATTAGCTGTGACTTAGTACCCTCTGCTGGTGGCACCGGGTAAAGACGTCATCTGCACTTATTACTCAGTCAAATCCCTGCTCAGGGGCATGTTCACAGTTCTTTTCAAGAGGGTCTTAAATTTGAATTCTCTGACATTTAAATGTCAAATAGTTATTTTACAAATGTGCAAATGTGAATATCTAATTAGATGATGACGTATGTTTTAAGAAATTACACTCCTACTGAATACAGAAAAATACATTAAAACCCCTTTTGATTCTTTTTTGTATATGTGTGAAGTCTCCAACAAAGGGATAGAATAGCGCCACCTATATTGTAGAAGTTGTTTGTTTTTCTTCTGAAACAATTATTTAGTTTCCTTTGAAATTATAAGCAAGTTGTTCTCTAGAAAAACATTTATTTGTGGGTTGTTTTTTTTTTTTTTTTTTGGCACAGTGAATAAAATATCATAAAAATCCTTTCCTTCCTCGTGTCTGTGCAACATGAAACAGAATGTACCATTGTTTCTGCTCAACCATTTCCTGTAGGGAAGAATATACAGCATCTGCAGCCAACTGTCTGGTTATGAATGGATTATAAATCAGGGTTTTTTTTCCTTCTCACAGATATAAGATGTGAGAATTATATTTCGACAACTGCGCTGCTGCAGTAACTATTTTTTGGTGAGTCTTGAAGAGGAAGTGTTGAACATGTCATCGTTCTCGTCTGTTTTTGTCCCACACGTCAACTGGATTTTGGAGGGTTGTCTGTACGTGTGAATCCCACGTAGGAGTTTCCACAGTTTCTGCCTGAGAGAACAGAGCGGCTCAGACTGGAGGCCCGGACGCCACAGTCAGGTGCAGGGGAGGCTCAAAGTGCAGCTCCTGGGTTTTGTGCCGATGCCCTGCAGGCAAACTGTCAGCGTCTCCAGACGGGGGAACAGGAAGAGATGAAGACGATAAAGTTCACCGTTTGAAGTGGTTCAGCTCAGAGGCACAGCTCGGAGACACCAAGGCTCACACTGTGTCTCCTCTTCTCAGCGTCCCGCACGCACATCACCTTGACTCACAGCACAGCGTATGAACAGAGTGAAGACGGCAAAAAAACGTTTGTTTGTTTTCAGTTTGGTTTTTGTTTTTGTTTTTTATAGAAACATCTCGTGGTCCTGTTTCCTCCCAGCTTTAGTTGTGAAGTTTTATTTACACGTCACCTCCAACGTCCATCACCTGTGAAGACTGCGACTGGACCTGAGCCTCAGTGGACACGGTCAGAGATTCGGACGTCAGGTGTCCACCATTAGACCCCCCTGTCCAGAGCCCCACTCTGTGAAATCCACCTCCCCACTGGACTGAGGGGGACTGTCCAGGGAGAGACCCCGCCGCTCCCCAAACACCTTCTCCTGCAGCTCGATGATGTCATTACGGATGTCCGCCATCATCAGCAGAAGGAAGTCGAAGGAGCCGGGGGGGCCCTGAGGACAAAAGGGGGGAGAACCGATTGTATCGAGCACCGACAGATTTAAAGGTTAAAGAGTAGAAAAAATATATTTTGGTTGTTGAAGGAATTAATAACGAAAATCTACATTAGTTTGACTATTTGACAGTTTCCATTGAAAACTTACAGGTGGACCCCTGGAACCTGGAGCTCCTCTCTCCCCCTGCAGGCGACAAACAGTCACAACAGCAGAGTTTATCATCATAGAAATGAAGCTAAGGCTGAAATGTAAACACTGATTCAGTTGTTTAAAAAAATGAGATATTATCATTAAAATATATTATAGGTTTTTTTTAAATAACAGAATTGAAAATATTAGAACCACTAACACCACAGGAAATTGTCAGCCTTAAGTGGTTGTGTTCAACAGCTCTGCAGACACTAGAGGGCGTCATTTACACAGAGACGCACAAAAACTGGATTTTTACCATTGAAGAAAAATAAAAATAAAATAAAGAAAACCTATAAAATAAAATATAAATTATACATTACAGAGACCTTTAGTCCATCTCGTCCTGCAGCTCCAGGTGGTCCCTGAGACAGAAGATAAACAAAAGTAAAAAACACCTACTTTTTTTAAATTTTATTTTATTTATTGATTTCTTTGTCTAGTGTTAGTTACTATCTATAAACATTCCATTGAGATCATCAGCTTTTTTTTTAAATTTTTTCTTCTCACCACTGGACCCCTGCGGCCTCTTTTAATATGTTTAAGGTCCGGTTCTGGACCCATGGGTCCCATGTCACCCCTGGGACCTGGCAGACCCCTCTCTCCTGGATCACCTTTTTTTCCAGGTTCTCCTGGGTGTCCTGGAAAAAGGACGTATTGATCAAGAAAGACAGTATAAGCAGGTTGTTTTTAACTGCATTCAAGGATTTATGTAGAGTTAATAAAATTCTTTTAGTTTTTTTCAGGAAACGTGTATCTACGCCTCCAAGACTGAACCGTCAACATTACCAGGGACTCCTGGAGCTCCTGGTGGCCCAGGCAGACCAGGTGGACATGGGCTGTCAGAACCTTTTCCTGCCCTCCCCAGAGACGGTTTATCACTGCTGTTCGCCAAACCAGACACCTACGAACAAACACCGAGACTGGGAGTAAGTGAAGTCGTTACAGTGACAATTTGTCTGTTAATGAGTCACGTCACACAGAAGATAAACATGTTACCAGGTTCGGTGACTGTGCGTTGCCCAGCTTGAGTTTAAGTTGTAACAAGCTGTTCTTCATGTTCATAAAATCCTGACACGTGAAGGAGCAAGTGCCAGCGCTCATCAAGGTGTCGGATTTCCCAGATGTACTCACTGCAGGATCAAAACATTTACAACGTTAACATTCTTCCCTCATAGATTCAGACAGGTCGTAAAAACACTCCGGTTACCTCGACCGCTTTATACGAGCAGACTTCATGTTTGACATTTATACACACGGTACACACACACACGTATGAATATCTGATTATAATGAATGATGGATATACTGTACATATATTTACACACACACACACACATACATACATATATACATAGATATATATGTAAATATATACACATATATACATAAATATATATAAATATATACATATACACATATATACATAAATATATACATATACACATATATACATAAATATATACATATACACATATATACATAAATATATACATATACACATATATACATAAATATATACATATACACATATATACATACATACATATATACATAGATATATATGTAAATATATATAAATATATACATACATACATATATACATAGATATATATGTAAATATATATAAATATATACATACATACATATATACATATACTGTATATACACACGTCACATACACTGCTATTGCTGCCCCTAAGGGGCGCTGAAACCCCATTTAAAGCCCCTGACCATTCATCTGATGCCAACTCCACCTCAGCTTGAGCCACATAGAAACTCACGGTTGTGCACAGAGATGCAGGAGTGATGGTCCGGCGCCAGCACGTAGCCGCTGCGACAGCGACACTGGAAGCTTCCCATTGTGTTGACACACTCGTGGTCACACACACTGCTGCCAGGCTGCTCACACTCATTGACATCTGCATATGACACAGTCCATTAAATCAACTAACCATCTGTATTCATGACAGAGATGGAGACGAAACAGGTGAATAGAAAATTAACAGGCAAATAAACAGAATTTATGAGGCTAATTTTTGCTAAAAAAAAAAAAAAAGTAAAAATATTGATCTATTTTTACGTTAAGTCTCTTTTAACAGATCTTAAATTGAGAATTGGTTTCGCAGCAGTACTCCTAATTATCATAATGACAGAGACTTTAATTGTCCACTGACCCAGACAGTAGGGAGATTTGTTGCTGCGATGTCTCTCTCTGTCAAACCTGTATCCAGGGTAACAGGTGCAGACCACGCGTCCAAAGTTGTCCGTGCACTGCTGCTCACAGGGCGACTCAGCGCACACGTCCACACCTGGGGACACGGGGACACGAGGTATTTATGTGTCGGGGTTCAACTTTTAAATCAAAGCAGCTGTGGCCCAGCGGGCACGGCACGTCGTCTACCCACAACAACGTCGGCGGTTACAGTTATTTGTCAGTTATTATCTTTGTTTACAGACAAAGTGAGTTCAGAATTGACACAAAGTACTGTGTACGTCATGAATACGATTTCTTGTCACTGTATAAAAACCTGACACAGCCTTCGTTGTCCATTTGTGTTTTAACTAACCACCTGGTTGAAGTCCACAGCTGGGAAGTGACCCAGGAACTTTTTTTTATTCTGGCCTTCAGTCAAGACAAAAAACACTCTGATATGTGGGAGTAAAAACAGTCCAGGTGTAAATAATAAACAGAATCCAGCTGTTTAACTTCCAGGTCAGAGGTCACGGGGTCCCTTCAGTAAAAAAAAGACGGCCATTGTTGAACAGATTTAAAACCTGCTCCAATGTCACTGACAAATTTTATTAGTTATTATTATTATTATTCTTTTCTGTAAAATAATAAGTAATTGTTGAAAAAAACATATTTATTGTGTTGATTAAACACAAATAAACATATACATACACTACACAATATATTTTGAGGCATTTTCGGGACAATAGATTTAGTCTAAATGCTTCAGCAAGTTGTAAAACAATGCCCTCTAGTGGCCACTATGAGCCAGAGTTCCTGTGCAGGTTTGTTTTGGGGTTGTTTTTGTTTTGTTTTGTTTTGTTTTTTTACATTTATACAAGTAAAAAAAATGTGTTATTCAAAACTTACAAAAATAAGTCACAGTATTAGTTTAGAATGTGGATTAAACACAGTCAATTTTTAAAGTGTGCTTGGTTTACCTACTTTCAGGGATGCACTGGCCCATCACAAACCTGAAACCTTCACAGCATTTCCTCCTGAAAAACAAAGAGACTTGTTAAAGTAAATACTTCATTTGAGAATAATTGAAACAAATACATTTGGACGTCCTTTCAAAGTTAAATGGAAAAATACTACAGTTAATCTTCGGATCATTTTCATTAACTGTTTTATCAACAGTGAATGTGTTTTATGTGTGTTTGTGCACATTAACTTAATTGTAGCCCTAGTAAAATACTGTAGTAAATTATAGGTATGAGAGTTGTTTAGTTAAGTTGCTAACACACATCAGAACACTGTTGCTTGGCTGTGTTTTTAAATTCCCCAGTTTGAGTGGAGTTGGAACAACAACAGTAACAGTGGTTATGACAGCAGGCAGAGAAAACACGTAAACCTCAGACCACGAAAGACTGAAGCTAAAACAGCAGAATCCTAAAATAAGGCCTCGACTCGTGAAAACACCCCACACTGGTGCAAGTCACGGGGAAAATGTTTTGTTTTTTCTTTTTCCCGTACGATACGACGGACCTTTGACCACATCAACCGAAATGACCGATCAATGCTACGAGTTCAACTTTGAAATCCATTTCCTGCACAGCTACCGACTCTGTGGCGTAACCTCCAGACGTGGATTGCAACACGGGATTTCGCAACGAACGCTGGGCGAACGGCTCCTCCTGCAGTTGATAGATGAGCCTTGGCAGTGACACTCATCCAGACATCCCACAACAATCCAACACATGCTACAGACATTACCAACGGAAAAGCAGAGAGGAAATGGCTCAGAACCTGCAGCAGCACGCAACGAAATCCAAATATCACACACACACACACACAGACACACACAGACACAACAAGTAACTGTCCTGAAACTCCGTGTTAGCGGCGGTGACTTGAATGCGCCGCCTCATTCACGATCCCCTCAGGGCAACAAGTTGCTTTTATTTTCTTCCACTCTCCATGCAGTGTACCCTAAATCACTCTCAGTCTCAGTCCCCCTCACCCCCCCCCCACACACACACATGCCTCCACCTCCTACATGAGTGAAAAATAACCTATAAAAAAGGCTCGTTGGCCCAAACTGATGAGATCCAGATGAGAGCAGCTCCAGTCTGAGGTCTGCAGCTGAAGTGTTGTGACAGAACCCGAAAGAACCAGGAACGAAGCTGAGGTGAGACAGAGCGTGGAGATGAACTGCATCAGTCTGTGAGTCAGTCTGTACCTCAGTCAGTCAGTCAGTCAGTCAGTCAGTCAGTCAGTCTACAGCAGAGACGGTGTTGAGACTCAGGTCTGTTTGTAATAAGTGAAAAGTTCTACTTCACAACAGCAGGAAATCAGAAATCACCTTTATTTCTTGGTGCCTGTACTCTTTGGGATGTCCGATAATATTATCAGCCCAATATTAGCATAATTATATAATATCTGTAAGAATTGTTATCGTTTTTTCCTCTATTAATGAAAACCCGATAACGCAATGCCTGGGTTTCATCAAATGTTTCGCCAACCCTGACCCTAAATATAGTTTTGGGGATAAACGGCTGTAAATGAAGGTAAAAGTCACTAGATGGCAGTGTTGCAGCTCATTTATTTAATCTACTTTAATAACCTGTATACAGAATGCTGGTGTCAGCAACTCCTAAAGTAAAAAAGTACAGCGGCCATAACTTAAAGTAACAAAAAGCGTCACGTTGCCAGCGTGCGTCACCAGAACCGCGTCTCGTCGTAGCGTTTTCCTCATAAAGTCCCTCATTCGCACCTTCCTCACGTCACAGCAGAATTAGGAGCCGTGTCAAATCCTCGCCGTTTCCTCCACATGATGTGGTAATTGGTAAAGTGTGTGGAGCTGAGAGAACTCGGACACATTTCATGGGTCCAGACGGCTGCGGCTGGAACGACCTGTGAACACGCACCCTCATCTCCCGCTCTACGTCTTTTCACTACAGTTTAATGTGAGGCCATTCATAATGGCTCTAACTGTCTGGCCTCCTGCTGCTGCTGCTGTTACTGCTGCTGCTGCTGTTGCTACTGCTGCTGCTGCTACTGCTGATGCTGTTACTGCTGCTGCTACTGCTGTTGCTGCTGCTGCTGCTGCAACAGAGACATTTCAGCCTGAGGTTTTCAATAACCAAGGACTGACATCTGTAGGTACAGACCATCTGTCAGTCCAGATCAGCAGCTCTCCCCTGAGTGTTGGTCAAAACCTGGACAGACAAGAGGAGGCTGAGGCATCTGGACAAACAGATGAGGGTGAAGAAGAAGAAGAGTCCTTGCAGCAGATCTGCTGTTAACGCAAGAATTTCCTAAAATACTGGATCAAAGTTCAAGTTTTTTTTAGACATGCATCCAAATCTATACTGCACTAAAAAACAACCTGAACAAACTGAACCCAATAAAACCAGTTCAAAGATTCTGGAACCACTGACCCCAGAACCAGACACCAAATAGAACCACATTAGAAAACCATAAATGGAATTCTGCTAAAACTGAGACAAAGAAGGACAACAACAACAGGACACACATCCTTAGAGTCCAAAACCAGCCATAAGAACACACACACTGTGTATGTGAGGGTGTGTGTGTGTGTGAGGGCTGGGACGCCGTCCAGTGATTGGGCACAGCCTTTCAACGTCAGTCAGTCTGGATTAGTGAGAGCGACCCGTGATGCTAACAAGACGTCTTCTCTCCGTCTCCTAACGTTTTCACGTCCCCTCTGTGCACTTCGCTGCCCCACGTCCACGACTCCAAACCACTGACATTCAGGGGCATTATGTCAGGCCTCTGGTTTCACCGTTCTCCACTGGTTGACTACACGCTGACATCACCTCCGTCTGCCTCTGCTCCGCTCCCGCTGACATGTTGTTGGCTCCAGGCTCGTCCTGCTGCCCACCAAACGATGGCGGTTCATTTTCTGCCCCCTGAACATTCTCAATCCTCACCTGGGACGCACTGATACCTACGCTAGTATCAAGTAGTATTCAAATACTCTTAGCAGTACGCACCACGTGCCGGTCCAGAGACTGGAAACTCCACAACAACCACAACTACAACCAGCTGCTCAGAGTTCTGTGTTTCTCCTGCAGTTTCAGTTTCAGATTTTTTTTTCAAATGTGATATTGGTGAAGAAGCTCTGCTCACTTTCTGTTAATCTGGCCAGAAGACACGTGGTATTTATGGTTTGTTTTTTAGTATTTTTTTAATTTTAGAAATGTTTAAAATTCAAAATAAAAAGTTGGGAAGTCACCTGTGTTCTGGTGGTGAAAATGAGGACGTAGATTTCAGTTGGTTTAGATTGGCATGACCTCAGAAAAAAAAAACCTAAATGTGGTCGTTTCAACATTTCACATCAGATTAAGTCTGGATTTAAAAATGAATAGAAAGCAGACGGGAGAGGACGGGAGCTGGACCGACTCTCTGGGCCAACTCTCTGGGCCAAAGCAGACGGGAGAGGACGGGAGCTGGGCTGACTCTCTGGGCCGACTCTCTGGGCTTGTGCTGACACACTGTTGACGTGGACCACCAGCAGCTGCTGCCATTGAAGGTCCGTGACATTTAATTTAACACAGTTTTACCCGAGGAGGTCTGAAAACCTCAGAATATTAAATCATTTTTCAGGATCATGGGTTCGTTGGTGAAACATTTGAACTCATATCTTCTCTGTCACTTCTTTTATAGAGTTATAACTTGTATAACTTGGTCACCTGATGAGCTCCCAGCCCAGTGCGGGGCACAGCCAGGCTGAGTCTTCAGCTGCTGCTGCTGCCAAAACCAGCACAGGGCACTGGAGACACCGAGACAGGGTCCAGAGGCAGACCTGAGCCGGGATCACTTTACACCGACGGGTATGTACTTTCACATGGGGTCTCCATTCAGAGGAGGGGGTGGAGTGGGGTGGGGGTGGGGTCACTGTTCTGACTTCACATTCAGCGTTACAGTGATTTATACCTGTATTCACAGAACAGAAACCTGCTACACAGACAGGATATTGACTGTAACAACCACAGTAAATTTAACTGCCCTCTCAGTGCCCAGGCTTGACAGTGGAGGAGGAGGGTCTGGGGGGGTAACTGGACCACGCTGCAGTCAGTCTCCATCAGGACTTTTGCAGCATGTCGGTCCGTCTATTTCCTTACAAGAAATATTTAGTATCGAGGTTTTTCACAGTCATTTTTCAGACACTAGATTCAGCCAATTCAAACGAGGAAGTTCCATGTTCTATGGTTGGAATCTCTCTGACGTCGCACTGTAGGAATGAAACTTGGACACAAGCCGATGACCTTCTTGTTTATGGCCAAACAAGGTACCGTAGCGGAGGATGGAAATGTCACAAAATAAGAAATGAGGGAGGACGGAGACAGGAAGAGGACGAGGAGGACGAGGAGGACGCTCAGTCACGGACGTTCTTGTCAGACTTTGACAGTTTCCTCCTGGGAGTCTGCTGGGAGGAACAGGAGGAAGTGAAGCTCAGTGGAGTTCAACAGATCACTGGCACAGACAGACTGAACGTGTGTGTGTGTGTGTGTGTTTATCCTATCACTCTGATGGATACTTCGTACTGACGTGGCCCACGTCTGTGGATCATCATGACATCATGTCGGAATAATCTGCAGAGTTAAACGATGATCTGACGTCCTGACGTTCCACCTCTGAGTTTGCTCTTCATCATCAGGTGTGACGCTCTTGTTCGCGTCCATGTTCAACACATTCATCACAGACCAGTGACTGTGTGTGAACGTGTGTAAGTTTACAGCTGTGAAGCTGTCAGTTTGCCGAGTGTTGAAGCACCGTCTCTCTGTTTATTTGCTCTGCTGGTCCACTTCCAGGACCGGGGTCTCGGGGGAAACATCAGAGCTCCGGTCAAACAGAGAAGGCTTTGACCGAGAACTGAAGAGGTCTAGAACACTTCCACCACAATACGACCAAAACATCGCTCCTCCTCCTCCTCCTCCTCCTCCGATCCTCTTGTTACGCCTGATCTCCATTAACTCACATCAGCTTTTTCCCATCATTTCTCCAACCACTGTCCAAACTATCCTTCAAA